AATCAGCACTTTAAAGAACCTCTGCTGCAGCTTGTGTAAAACCACAATGCACGAAGAGCGATAAAGGAAAATCCTGTTTTCAACTACATTTTTCTTCAGCACACACTAGAATGGTAAATATTTTGTGGTTAACCCCCTCTCACAGCACTTTCCTCTGGACAGTGGTCTCTGTGGTGCATACCACATCATTTAACATTCCCAATAAAGGTATTGCAATAGCACCGTGCAGAAGCATTAGTGGTCTGTCTAATAGCAACTTACTCATGCAAAGCCAACCCATCCAACCACAAGGTCACCTTTCACATGGAGCTCAATATTCTGGAGGTCCTATCTAAGCTGCCACCTGTGGCCTTTTCCCTAGTACGCACAGTCAGAACAGAAAGCCACAGTGAAATCTTAGCACTTTTTGTGCTTTCAGTTTCTATTCCAATATTCCTTTACCTCATGCAAACCAGGGTTCATAAGCTACCAGCCTCAGGTCAAGTCATAACATGGGGTCCCCCTTTGTATGACCTTGTTATTAAAAAAAAGTGACGTACTAGCTTTTTTGGCCAAAAAATGGATCTGAACCCAGAGGATTCTTGCATATTCCCTGTAAAATTATGAGTGTTTCTGAACCTATCCATGTAATTCAATTAGGACCAAATCCTGAATTCCTTATTCAGACAGAATGCACATTGTCTTGAATAGGCATACTGCCTGACTAAGGACTTCAGGATTTGGCCCTCTCTCATAGGATATGTGGTAGAGAATCAGCTCATCTGGGTGCTGCATTTCAGCTTGCCTTCCCCTTCTATTACGGAGTGACAGTAGCTACTACATAGTTGAAGTTGCAGCTGAGTTTCCATTATAAAATTCATTTTGGCTCCTCTCTAAAATACACAACAAAAGTTATATTCTCTCTCAAAACTGGTAGTTTATATCTGAGGTTGAGGGGAAAATTTTATGGTAAATTTGAAGTGATTTTTTTTTTTTACATAGTGCAATCAAAAACAAAACAATGTAAAACTTTAGAGCCTACAAGTCCACTCGGTCTTACTTCTTGTTCAGCCAATTGCTAAGACAAACAAGTTTGTTTACATTTACGGGAGATAATGCTGCCCGCTTCTTATTTACAATGTCACCTCAAATTGAGAACAGGTATTCAGAATGGCACTGTTGCAGCTGGTGGTACAAGGTATTTATGTGCCAGATATGCTAAACATTCATATGCCCCTTCATGCTTTGACTTGTAGGCACTAAAGTTTTACATTGTTTTGTTTTCAAGTGCAGTTATGTAAAAAAATAAAAATTCAACATTTGTAAGTTGCACTTTCACTATAAAGAGATTGCACTATAGTACTTGTATGAGGTGAATTGAAAAATACTATTTTTAAAACCTTTTTTACACTGCAAATATTTATAATATAAATGATAATATATAGTGAGCACTGTACACATTGTATTATATTTTGTGATTGAAATCAATATACTTGAAAATGTAGAAAAACATCCAAAAATATTTAAATCGGTATTCTGTTATTGTTTAACAGTGCAATTAAAACTGTGATTAATCTTAAATATTAAAATTATTTTTTTAATCTCGCTGTTAATTGCAATTATTTTTTTAATGGTTTGCGAGCCCTAATTTATTTTTTTTACCTCAAAAGTCTCACAAAGAGATTCCAAGCATGATGGGAAATTTTCTCCCCCCCCCCGAGCCATCTGCACTTATATAGTCCCCATAGGAACATAAGAACATACTAGGTGAGACCAAAGGTCCATCTAACCCAGTATCTTGTCTTCCGACAGTGGCCAATGCCAGGTGCCCCAGAGGGAATGAACAGAACAGGTAATCATCAAGTGATCCATTCCCTGTCGCCCATTCCCAGCTTCTGGCGAACAGACGCTAGGGACGCCATCCCTGCCCATCCTGGCTAATAGCTATTATCCTCCATCAACTTATCTAGTTCTTTTTTTAACCCCATTCTCCAAAGACCTCCTGAGGACTATAGAAAGGGATTCTGACTCCTGCAGACCTTATGAGATCTGCCTGGGGTGTGGGTGTATAGCTTGAGAGAGTGGGTGGCTCATGGCAGAAAGTCAAGAGAGGCATCGACCCCCTTCTTGAGGACCTACTGAGATCAGCAGAAGGGGAGAATCTTTAAAGAGGCTTAGAAGCCTCATCAACCCACCCCAAGCTTTTGGCTTATTGAGCCGCCTTCTCCCCCTCTTTGAGCATTAGGAGGATTACCAAGACCATCCCAGCCCCTCGTAAGCCATAGTAGGCTTTTTTCATCAGACACAATCCTGCCTGGGTTTTGCCAGAGCTTTGATAAGCATTCCATACCTACATAGAGAGCTCCAATTTACTACAGATAGTGGCAGGAGAAGGGAGCAACAGGTAGGCAACTGCGAGCTGCCTAAGGCTCATGAAGATGAGAAGTCAAGGTAAGTAAGGAAGAAAGAAGGAAGGATGGTTCTTATGGTTAATGCAGACACCTGGGGTCACGAGACCTGGGTTCAATTCCCACCTCTGCCACATGTTTCCTTCATAACCATGTATAAGTCTTAGGGCCAGTTTTAAGCACTAATAAGTGTGCAGACACCTGCCATCCACATTTTGCCCCGCTCCTCAATTTGACAAATAGGGAGTTGCAATTCTACACCCCTTAGGCTCTATAGGAGAGAAGCCCTGATCCTGAGGGCCCACATAGATTCATAGGAATAGGACTCCCACAGGAAGTCTGCAGTGTGAGTTTACTCTAGACTGGGCTGGGGGTTGGCTTTAGGATTGGGGGAGTACAAAGAGCCCCTTTGTGCTCTCTTCCTCAATTGGGCCTAGTGGTCCTCTGCCATGCATCTGCCCCAATGTGTTTGTTTCACTTTTAGGTATGTAAGTGATAAAGTAAATAGAGAAATACAAATCCGAGACTTTTAGACAGAAGTGGGGTTTCATCCCCTCCCTGAAATTCGGGAGCCGTTCATTGATACCCACAAGCCACTTACTGAGGAAATCCAGATCCTGGCTTTGAGACGTTAATACTGGCATAACAAATCTATATTTAAACTATTCTCTCAGTGTAAATTCATCCCGCATGAATGTCTGAGGTTCAGCATAATGTCTCCAAATATCTTTTGATCAACAAACAACAGCTATTTCTGTAAACAAATCATGATATTCAGCTTGTTATTCCAACTCCATGAAGTCACTAAGTCAACATTTATTGAAGTACTAATGGTAGCGTTGCATCAAAATTTAATATGCACATTCATTCCTGGGCAGTACTGCATTAACACTTGGTTTCATCCATTACTATTTATCATTAGCTTTGTCATAAAATGAAGTTCCATCTCTCTATATAGAAAATAAAATATCCTCTGGTCACATGACCTCAAAACTCCTAGGAACACTATTTGCACAATTGGTGGAGAAGGAAACAGCCCTTAGTGAAGAGGATTTATCTACAGTTTATTGCTATGTACTGCAATCTGTTAGATGAGTGGGGCTTTTAAAAAACTGCAGTAGTTATGTCATACATAGTAAAAAGATATTTTCCAGTAGAAACATTATAACATTTCCTTTCATTTGGGAAGACAGCTTCTACTTTGTTTTTTGAATGAAAGCAGCTAATATATTACCTGGATTTTGTAAGGAGAATCAAAAGAAAGATACAGCAGGCATGCAAAAGCAAAGCCTACAATAATTCATTATCGGCAGTCCTTGTATTTACAGAAGAATGCACTGGGAAAAGATTCATGTAGTTTCCCCCATCAACATTATGCAACGAGAGAGAGAGAGAGAGAGAGAGAGAGAGAGAGGTTATATTAAATGACATATCTACTGACATTTTAGGGTTAAGTTGCTCAATTTATCAAGGCCATCTGGTGCTGTTTATGGTGGTCTTTTTGCATTGTATATCTCAAGTTTTTCTTGTTGGAGAAGTGCTTCACACTAGCTGAGAGTATCAGGTCTTTTTGCTGTTAATGCTACACACGGGAGAATGGAGAGCTGATAATATGCACATTCCATCTACGATGGAATGCAGAACCCACTAAGTGCAGTGGAACAGTCACTAGTGCAGGATGGTAAGAATGGTCTTATGTCTAAAGGATTGGACGGTGTGTCAGGAAATATGGGTTCCCTTCCCGGCTTTGTTATGTACTTCCTGCATACTTAGAGCTAGTTACTTAACCCCCGTGCCTCACTTTTACCATCTGTTAAATGGGGATAGATACTTCCCTACTTCACAGAGGTGCTGTGAGACTTAATTAATTAATGGGTTAAAATTCACTATTGTGCAGATGGCCAATACAAGGCCTATGCAACACTGAAGTCCCCCTTAACCCCTCAAAGCGTAAGTAGAACTTGAGTGGAGTGTAGCCTTGTGTTAGGTCCTCTTTGCATAAAGTCTGTTTTCACTTCAATGTTTGTAAAGCCCCTTGAGAGCTTCAGAATGCAATATATTCATATTATTATTATTAATCTGAAAGATACATCTTGTTAGAAATGCTGTTTTGTGTTCCTAAGATGGTAAATTTGCAGGATCACAGTACTCTTTATTAAACAATGCAAAACATTTTATAGCAAGAGGTCTTAGAAGCATGCCTGTTCGTAAAGAATACAAATGAGACAAAGAAATGGTATTCACTGGCGCGAGTCTGTCAAAGTACAACACGACCACACTGATTTAATTGAACCCACAATATGATTATTTTGCAGCCTCAGTGGTGATCGTGATGAGGTGTTGTTTTTTGGCCTACTCAACTGCCATTATTACCCATAAAAACAGAAAATTAATACTTTAAAATGATCATTAATTTAAAGATATATATGGATGCCCGCTTTGGCAATCAGCCAAAACATGACATCATGCCTTGATGAATAAGACTGAAGCAAAAGTTCAGAGGTTTTTGAGATGCTGCCAAAATTGTTTTTGCACTTGATTGCTGGAAATAATCTACTATGAATGTCTATGCAATTGCAAGAAATTCATCTGCAGTGTGATTGTCATGCATACCTTGTCAATTCCTCTGTATAGAAGACCAGTCTAACTTCTTTCATTTTTTTAATTTCTACTAGTGAGACTTCCATAGATAGCTCGACACAGTTTTGCAATAAGTCACACTTCCTGTTTAGAAAAGAAAAGAAAAAAGGACAACATTTGAATATCCCTGGGAGGAAAAAGGCTGAAAAACATTGATGGAATTGTTAAATACAGATTTTTCAGTAATGGTTTCCGCATGTGTGAAATTTGTTCCAGCACAAGATCAATGCATCACTTAAATCCCATTTTGAAGGCTTTAAGGGGGAAAAATGATGCATAGGCCTTGGGCTGGCCCTCCACACAGGCAGGTATTTTCCCCTCAGTGAAGCACTGTGATTTGAATTTTCTAAAACTATTGAATTTAGCTGCTATAAACCCCAAAAGACTAAAAAAAGAAATCTCAAGTCTCTGGTACTTTTGCAGCTAAAAAGTGTTTTTTAAATCCCAACCAGAGAAAAATGTGACATCCTGTCCTCCCTGTTATCAGCATGGATAACTTGTTTTTAATCCTTAAAAAACAAATGTTCAGTACACACTGGAATACACAAAATAACAAATAAAAGGAACTGCAGTAATGTTAATCAACCAATCAAGAGAATTCAATGCAGCCTCTATAAATGATTCATTATATATGTACTGTTCAGCAACATGTCATCATATTCTTAGTAGTTTGTGATATTGTTATTTGTGGATGACACTTCTGAATAGGCTTTAATTATATCTACCTATATAAATCACTAATTATATACGTAAGTACACACACGCTGCATGTTGAAAAGTGAAATGTTTTTATTCTCTTGCATTTGGTGTGACCCTGCAACTCTCCAGCAGCAATGTAAAATAAAGCTCCGAGTACAATTACTCTGGGTCATCCCAAAGAAGAGAATGTACTATTCCATTCTTCCTCTTTTCATCGTGTTGTATTCCATACATACCCATGTTATATGTTCCAATGTTCACTTCAGTTAACTCTGCTGTTCCCTTTTCTGAAGATCATTTTTTTCAGGTTTTTTTTCAACTTCCCCCTGCCCCCAGTAATGCTACTTAGTGTGTCCACAATTACACACCCAACTCTATTTGGAAGATTGAATATACAGTTCCTGCAAATGGGAGACATCTCTTTCTCTTTATCTAGGCACTCATATGGCCGTCATCAGATAGCATGGCAAAGCAGGAACTGAACCCAAGTCACTTGAATCCCACCTCAGTACCCTATCCACTAGACACTTCCAAGCAGGTGTCTACAGTATGATCCTCTAATTGCTCTTTATAGATGTCAATTTTCTAACGCCCTGTCTACACTATAGTAACATTACATTGAAACTAGAGACCTACAAGAATCTACAGATTTGTAAATTAATTTATTATTTTCATCCCTGTCAAACCAAGAAACTGTGATAGCCCTGTATTAGTGCTAGTCATGTGTGTATTAGTCATGTTAGTCCAAACTAACATGACATAATTACACACACCTGCTGCTTTCTTCAAATTCACTCCAAATTCTTTCTGTGTAATCTAAAATCAGGTGACTGAGATGACCCAGGTACTAAACACTTTGAGACAAATGCAGACGTTCTGTAAGTAGGCACATCTCCATTTAAATCCATGGCATTGCACCAGGTCTGACTTTGGACCATGATTGTTTCATTCAGATGAACATATTTTGATGTGTATATCAGATAAACATGTTGTTATTTTATAATTGTATTTAATGCTAGAGTGGTGTAAGGTAATTTACAGGGAGCAAAGAGATGTGGTGAAATCCTGGTTCCATGGAAGTAAATTGCAAAACTCATAATGATTTCAATAGGGCCAAAAATTCATCCATGTTTCCTGCCCTTAGGAGCTGCATCCTGTATCCTAAGGCAAACGGAATACAACTGACTCTTCTTGGAAAGTCCTTTATCATTAGATTTTCAGCCCGGATATCCCTTTTGTACACTTCCATCACTGGGAACTGCCTTGAGACACCTAGAGAAATAGCATGACAAGGTTTCCACCATACTTGTTTGTTTAGGGTTCCTCTCTTACTCCTCCACATTTACATCTTTTCAGAAGAGAGGAACATGGTAATTTTACCTTTATCAGAGCACAAACATCTGTTCTAAAAGTGCCAAATCTTTTTCAAAACCATTTTGGCCAATTTTACATCATGTTGTCATATGTTAGAAGATATGGTTTCATATCCATATCATATCCATATCAACCCCCTCATTCCTCATCTCAGTTTCTGCAAAGATATCAGCCATGTTATGGTTTTTTAAGCTTTTTTTCAACCTTCCAAACTCTTTATTCCAGTTTTGCTTCACCTGTTTCATTATTGCTCTTTCCATTCCATGAGTTATCTTGGTAGATCTCCTACTTCTTTCCTTTGATTGCCCTCTTTTATTGTTAAAAAGAAAAGGAGTACTTGTGGCACCTTAGAGACTAACAAATTTATTTGAGCATATGCTTTCGTGAGCTACAGCTGTTGTATCTGTAGTCCTCTTAGGTACTTGAACCTATTGACATATTCTTCTCATAGGCTTGCCATCTTAATAGCAAAATTTTAGTTTGCTTCTCTGGTAAGATCAGCTCCTCCCCCTCGTTGCTTCTGCCGACATGATACTCTGCTTCCTATTTAAACATTTAACATGCTGTAAAATGTGCCAGTGTCTCTGTTTGCCAACAGTGGGGTGTATATAATTTGTGTGATTTTTAAAATAGGATATAATGGTCTCCAAAACTGAAGTGGGAATCACCTGGATCAGTCTTAGTCAACCATGTGCACATAGAGAATCCACAGGCTGATACCCTGAAGTAACACGGGGTTGAGATATCACTGATAAAGAAACTCTTCCATATTAACTACACTAAATAAGTACAGAGAGGGTACATGTTGGTGTAGTTTCCTGTAAAGATATCATAGGCATGGGTTTGGGATTGCCACGTTATTAAAGTAGGGGATAACAGTACAAACACATGAGAGTAAATTTACTCAAATGTGTAAGTATTCTCATGATCAGGCCTTTAATTTCTCTTTCAAAATTTTAGGCATAAAATCAAAAACTAAAAACCAAAAATCCACTCCTTACTTTTACATTCCTAGTAGTATAATAGAGATTGCCAGATATTTTTGTTGAAAGCATCAGAATGTTTGTAACAATAAACACAGGATTCATTCTTTTGTTTCCTGATTTAGGAAAGCATGTGCTTAAGTCCCATTGAACTCAACATAAATGTGTGCTTTAAACACATGCTTAAGTGCCTTCCTGAACTGGGGCCTTGGTGAACATCAAAATTTATTGTTTCTCAAGGTAAACGAATCTTATTGTTCAAGAAATATTACCTTCTTTAATAGGAATTATGTGAACAATGTGGAAAAAACAGGATGCTGTACTAGGCAAACAGCAATGGCGTATCAACTACAGTATCTGAGACATGAAAGTGACACATACTGAGACTAGATAAAAACAAAAGAAACATAGAGACAAGCCAGACAGCTAAACAATTTGCTCAAGGAAAAAATCTCAATAATTAATACACAGTATGCAGACCAAACATTTAACACAATAACTTATTCTGTTTATTTAATATCTTCACATTGTGATATTGAAGAGAGTCCAGATTTAATTTTTAGCCAAAGCCCCATAGTTGGTGGCTGTTCACTAATCCAATGTACCAAAAATTGCTAAACTTCAGCTTTAGGATTAATGGCTGAGAGTGGAAATCAATGTGGAATTTTAATTTAAATGGAGTAAATAAATTTGGAGGGAAAAAGGTTTGAGCAACCAGAAGATGAAAGAAACCTTCTTATCATTCAGAGTCTAAATTCTGCAAGCTTTTTGCTTTTCCACTCCATGCAATCTTATGAATTTCCTGGATTTTTATTTGTGTTTGTTCCATTCTTAAAGCCATATCTCAGAAGTATCTGGGCCAATTTATCAGTATTAAAAGAGGCATTTTTAAAATGAATATTTAAAAAGAAGAGCGTATTCATATCCTTTCAGTATCTACCACAGAGAGAGAGAGAGAGAGAGAGTGAGATGTTAGTAAGGGCAGACTTTTCCACTAAAGTTAAATTGATAAATGTTTTCTCTCTCATAGGTACTATATGCAATTCTGACTAGCACAGTTCAGGTGTCCCTGCTGTAGGAAAGGGTCTCAGGTATATACCTTGCAGGGCTTACATTTTTCCTATTTTCCCAGCTTTGTAGAGAATACAGCACTTTCTAAGGCACCAATTCTGCAAAGACTTATGCACATGCTTACTACATGCACTGAAAATAGTCCCACTGAGACTTTGCACAGTCTGTAAACTTAAATCTTGTGTAAATCTTTAAAAGATCAGGGCCTGAGTCTGTTAAATTCCCCCCCTTGCCCCAAAAGTTTCTCTAAGGTAGATCACATGCAATTTTCAAAGTGTTTTAATATTTGCCCAGTGTTTTTTTAAAATCAGTATTTGTAAAAAGCCTTTTGGGGATAAACTGATGACTATGTAAGCAGAGATCCAAGCAGAAAATGCAGATTTTAGTGATACTTGCCAAGTGCTACAGATCACCATTCAGGTCAGAGCTATTTCTTGATTATATTCCATGTATTAAGGGCATGTGCAAAAGAGCTGTGTTTGCACCCATTTGTCTTTATAGGTTTACCAAGAGAAAGAGGGAATGTGCTGGGGACCATAGGAGGGAAATGAGAGGAGGAGGTGGTTTATTTTTGTTTTGTTTATCAAGGAATGAACCAGGAAAGAAAATAAAACAGGAAGCTCCCTTTGATTTATAAGAAGAAAATAAGAAAGGCAAGGGCACCAAAAAATAGCCACCCACCCCTTTCCTGAGGCAGGCCAAGGATAGGATGGGGGATGTTTAATTTCTTAGCCTCTTTCATCAGCTCCTACACTAAGCAGGGCAAGAAAGTCAAGCAAAGGGACCAAGAAAAGTGACAGCATAATTAATCAGAGAATTATGCCACTACTAACACTAAGTAGACTTAGCATTCGTATCACATAGAGACAAAATTTGCTGTCCTGTGGGTGCTCACAATTCCCTCCCATGTGGGAATTGTGTACATCAGATACAGGCTTTTGCTCAGAAGATTTAGTT